AGCGCTAATGGAAAGTGGGCTCCATCACCGCTTGGCAAGCCGCCCAGGGGATGCCGGGTGGGCACAGGCTATAAATTACCTCTGGAAAGCCTAAGGGGAGGGGGCGGGTGGTACCCAGTGGCGCTGGATTTATCTGTACCCGCTCAGCAAAGCAGTGCCAGGGTGTGGGGACTGTGCCAAGCCAGTGCCACACCGGGACCTGGTCCCTTCTCCCTCTCCAGGCATGGGGGTGTCTCTGCCCCCTCCCTAATGCCCAGAAGAGGAGTGCTCAGCATCTCTGTGCCATGGAGAGGCAGCAGGCACAGGGATGGCAGGGGAACCACAGACGGATGGATGGATGGGTGCCTGCCCAGCATCTGAGCGCAGCCTCCCTCCCCTGTGCTAGCCGGTACCTGAAGTTGGGGGCCGATGCCCACTCCAGTGCCAGGCAGGCCAGGTTGACGGTGGCATAAACCAGGAGGAAGAAGGTGGTCACAACCCCTGCAATGGTGTTGAGCTTCCCGGAGAAGAGCACCAGCTGCAGAGAGCACAGGGAAGGGGGGACGCACAGGGTGAGTGAATGCACCCCCCAGGATGACACTACCAGCACATGCCTGAGCCAGCCCTGCCGAGCCTGGGGCACGCCACAGCGGTGTGCCAGGAAAGGGTACAGGCAGTGCCACGTGGGCACAAATCCCTGCCCCTTGCTGTGATCTATCCTTCATTTACGGGTTCAGGGAGAGAAGGGGACAACCGCAGCAGGAAACCCAGCATAGGGGGATACCCAGGGGCAGGGGGACATGGCAGGCTCCGCAACACCCAGCCCAGGTGCCAACCCACTTCCACGTGGCAGGGCTGGGAAAGGAGCATTGCCGGTAAACTCACCTGTACCACCAGCCAGGAGAGGATCACCGCCATCACAGGGTTCCCACTCGCAGACGTCTTCTTGGCCAGCACCAGCGCCCGGCCTGCAGGCAGAGGGGGGAGGTTGTGCTGGGGCACCCCAGTGGGCACCAAGAGGCTCGGCTACCAGCCAGGAGTCCTGTTCCCACACCCTGAGTGCTGGGGCACAGGCAAACGCCAGGGCACACAGGTGACCCAAGCAGGCACATGCCAACCCACAAAACATCACCCCCATGCTGGGAAGGGGTTTCTCCAGTGCCAGGGCTGGTCCCCATCAGGGACAACCTGCCGGGTGGGCTCTGGTGGGTGTCAGCATGCTCCAGGCACTCACCAAAGAGATCATCGCGGGCCAGGGCGTAGAGGATGCGGGACGCCCCGATAAGGTTGCTCATGGCTGCGGACAGGGTGGCAGCGTAGATGCCCACTGTGACCAGGGGTGGAAAGATACTGATGTCACGCAGGAAACCGTAGTCTTTCTGCAGGAGGGTCCTGGAGAGGGACACAGACGTGCTGGTACCTGCCTCACTTGTGCCAGCATGCCCTGGTACCGGGCACACCCTGGCACCAATGGCCCCAGCGAGGGGATGGGTGGCTGTACCTGTTGCAGGTGGCACACATGAGGAATGCCAGCAGGTTGTAGACGAGGTAGGTGAAGAGCACAGCGGAGATGGTGCCCCGTGGGATGGAGTAGCTCGGGCGCTTCAGGTCCCCTGCAGGCAGGAACGGGCAGCATTAGTGCCTGCAGGCACAGCACCCCTCTGCTCTCCTCCAGCCTCAGCTCCTACTCCTAGTGCCACCCAGCCTGGCACCTCCCGCCTGTACCTGACATGTTGGAGCCTGCCATGATGCCGGTGCAGCCATTGAACATCACTGCGAAGACGGAGCTGAAACTCATCATCTGCCCTGTGGTGTAGTCCACCCCGTACCCACCTGCAGGACACACGGGCACAGGCTGTGACAGGCTGTGTGACACCCTCTCCTTGGTGTCCTCTCCCGAACCATGGGAGAAACCACCCCATGGCACCTGTTTTGTGCCCATAAGCTCCCCCCACTCATCGGCAAGCCCCTGCTGATGTGGGGGTGCCGGTGTCACCCCTCCCCGGGGTGCAGGTGCCACGGTGGCTATGTGGGCAGGGTGGGGAGAGCTGCTCCTCACCACCCAGGTTGTCTCGAAGGGTGGTGAGCGAGAAGCCGGTGAAGGAGCCATTCTCAGTTTCGGAGCCGTTGAAGTAGGGCAGGCGGATGGGCACCCCGATGGGCCGCGTGGCAAAGAAACTGACAAGGATGGTGCCCAGCACGCCCGCGACGATGAGGAAGATGAGGAAGGTAGCCTTGGCGTAGATGGAGGCACCCACGAGGCACACGAGGAGGCAGAGGGCCAGCAGCACAGTGCCATAGAGCAGCTCGTACCAGTAGCTCTGAGGCAGGACGTGGACACCTGTGCCCACTTTTTGCCCTGGGCAGAGACAAGGCAGGATCAGTGGGGCTCAGAGGGGGCATCACTGGGAGCCAAGAGCCACCGGCACTGTGCCAGGCATGACAGACACCAACTCACCAGCCAGAGGGCTGGCAGAGTTGTGCCAGCTACGCCAGACATGGTGCCTGGCATGCCTGGCAGAGCGCTAGGGCTACTCGGGTAAGGGACACCCGCTGTCCCCTGCCTCCACATGTTGGGGTACTCACCAGGTGGGATCCCAAAGCTGTCCACCACAGCCTCCACCAGCCCCAGCACGTAGAGGGCACTGCCACACACGTTGGCCAGGAAAAACATGATCCCGATGCTGCCCCCGAACTCTGGGCCCAGGGCACGGCTGATCATATCTTGCTCGAGTCAAGGGAAGATGTCAGCAGCCCAAACCCCCACTGGGTGCCCCCACCCCTCCCTCCCAAGGCCCCAGTGTGACACCCTGAGGCTGCCAGGCCATCACCTGATTTTGGCCCACATGCCCTGCCCTGGCAGCACCCACAGCAAAGGATACAGTAGGCTCCTCCAGCATCCAGTGCCCCGTTGGTAGCAATGGCACACACGGACAGTACTGTCATGCCGATGATGAAGTATGCCACCGCAAACATGGCCAGGGCTTGGTACAACCCGGCATGGCCCACCACGAACCCTGCCAAG